AACATGCGAAAACGAAAAATCTCTCACTTGGCCGAACGCAGCAAGTAGGTTTTTTCTCTTGCAGAGAAAAACTCACGGCCGTAATTGGTAATACGCGGCTTTTCCGGAGACCCGGTGACTTTTTCCTTACACGAGCACAACAGTGATATCGGGATTTTTGTTTTTTCCCCGTATACAAGAGACAACAAAATAATAAAAAAAAGACGTCGTTAGTCCCAGGCGGGATATTGCTATAACGCATTTTGTTGAAAAAAATATGTTTATCGTTATCAGTTAATTATTCTTACAAATATCGTTATTATTTATTATTGATGTTATGTATCTGCTGTCCATGTACGCGTGAAGTGTGCGAATACGTGTATGTTCACTTCCCCTCCCCCCATGTAATTTACTGTTATTATTATTATTCGATATTCGATTATTCGATAAGAGACAATGAAACGATGATTAATGTTGTCGTCGTTAATTAGTCGTTTATTAATTATTTATACTTTATTATCGTTAGGAGATACGCGATTAATCAGTTAGCTTGTTAATAAGTATGTAAGGTATAAAGGAGATAGCACATCCATACGCCATTCAGACATTAGTTAAATCCTAAGAAAATGCTTTTCGTTACGTCATTTACGTTTTTCTATTTTCTCTTTTTTTTCGTCATTTAATCAAACGGTTTTACTGTATTATACGCGAAGCCCTACTTACTATCGATTACAATAGTCATTTTCATTCCGTTATAGTTACCTCCGTTGCACTCTGCAAAATACGTATAAACGTAGCAGTAATTAGTCGCAGTTTTGAAAAACTTGAAACGGATGTGTCCTCGGGTTCGGTATATCCGGTTATTATTGATCTTTACAGTATGCATGCATACATATGTATGCGTATTATATCATCGAAGATAAATGAATGTTCGACAGTATAACAAAAGAAAAAGAAAATGGGCCACAGCTTAATGAAACTCAAATTTTTCATTATATCACGATTTTTAAGTAGAGCATGGATTACGAATGAGCCAGTAAAAAGGATTTTATTTTTCTCGTCATTGTTTTATTTTTTCTTTGAAAAAGCTGTGGACCCTCTATTGTGTCTCTTACACCATTCCTTCTCTGTGATATCTTCACGGTTATCCGCCGTTTCATTCTAAACACCATCCTTCTTCGTCTTTGCTTCATATTTATCTTTCTCTTTTTTCTTCCTATCTCCATTACTGCGTTCGCAAGTAAATTATGCGAACTCTACTTTGTCCTTTCCCACCCGCATTATCTCGTTTGTCAATTACTTCGCTCTTTCTCTTCACCTTTTTCTGAAGCAGAGAGACAGCGATACAGGTAATAACAACATTATGTTCCTATGTACATTTGTACCATGGCCAACGTATCCAATCTTCAATTTCGGTCGAGTTACCAAAATTTCTTTTATTAATTATCATTCTACTCATAATTTCTCATGATTTATTATTAATTGCGACATCCGATGATTTCATATTATTATCTTTCCCGTGTTTATCTTTCTTACTCAATCCTGTTCATTTTTTCATTGACGGACATGTATCTCATGATTTCTCAACTGGTAACTCGACTTCTTCAACCATAGAGTGTGAAAGACAGCCGGTGTGTGTACTATTTGTGACATCGGTGACTGCGTGCTTGGCTCTTGGAAAAACAGTGTTTATGTGCATAGATACTTTTTTTTTTCATACTTCTTTTTTATCTTTGTTACATATATATTTTGACATGGTTCAAGATATTTTTCACTTTGTTCAGAGACAATTCACTTCTTTTTTTTTTTTTTGTATTTTCTCGATTTATCATGGAATCACGAGATCATAAATGTAATCTTTTCACAATTCAATGACTTATCATACCGATTGCTTCGCGATTTATATCCCAAGAAATATAAATTGATTACTGACGTCATTGCAGTATAGGTACGTTCACTATAGTTTTGCCGTGCTTCATTCCCTCTCTCTCTCTCTCTCTCTCCTCTAGTTTCTTCTTCTTCACGCACGTCTAGCGTCATTCCAATCCGTGACCAATGACGATAGAGAGCCAAGAACGCATTGCACGTCAGCGAAAATAAAATCGCTGTCCTAGCAGCGCGCTTGATAAAATTTGTCTTCCATCTAACCAGTAACAACGGGTAATGTACATAATTACAGGAATATTGGAATAATTTCTAGTGCTTGGAGTTGAATTAGTGGGTGGATGTTCGAGGGGCTTAAATCTGTGAAACTTAATCGGGATTTTTTTTTGCGCAGAGGATAAGAGGATCGTACACGCCGATCGCACCGATCTAATTCTCTTGCTCGATCTTTTATTAATCATTTCTTATCAGTCGATTCATCATCATCATCATCATCATCATCATCATCACGTCCATCATTATCCTCCTCGGTATCACCGTGACGGGGGCTCCATCTTTTCAACGCTCGAAAAGATGTTAATTTTCTTGAAAAAAGAATATAGGTCAAGATGCCGGATTGAAGAAGAAACGAAAAATCCTTTCGAGAATCCAAAATTTCGTTTCACGATCATTTACGTAATCCTCGTTACTCTGAGCGCTCGCGAGAAAAAGGCTTTTATCATAACCGTTATCAATCCTTTCGATTCTATTTATTTCTTCGCTTTTTATTTTATTTTTATATCTTTTTGGTTCCTTATATCTGTTAGTAGTATGCAGCTTCATTTTTTTTCCTCTTATTATTCCTTTTGTACGTCTCTTGATAAAGTGTTGTCGATAGATAGGCTTCTTTGCTTTTTAGGTAGTTTATTATGTTTCATCTTTCTACGTCCGATCGATGATCGAACTGGAAAACAGGAATCACGTGGCTACAGACACATCGTTAAAACGCGAATATCCATACGGGTTTGGATCTATATTTAAATAATCTTGGCCATTGACTATAAAAATTCTGATAAAGATATAGAACGGTCACTGACACTCGTGCATTCATTAATTACGCAACCACTCGATCTTCTTGATCTTAATAACGCGTAATCATTGCGCACGCACGACTATGGGAACGCGATGTAAATCTGTATAAAATTGGCCAATGAAACAAAAAGGAATTATTCAAAATTCATTTTTTGCTTATTTACGCGTGGGGGGGGGGGGGGGG